GAGGAAGAGGAGGAGGAGGAGGATGGAGGAGGGGGATGGAGGAAGAGGAGGATGGAGGAAGAGGAGGAGGAGGAGGATGGAGGAAGAGGAGGAGGAGGAGGAGGATGAGGATGGAGGAGGGGGATGGAGGAAGAGGAGGAGGAGGAGGAGGATGGAGAAGGGGGATGGAGGAGGGGGATGGAGGAGGAGGAGGAGGAGGAGGATGGAGGAGGGGGATGGAGGAGGAGGAAGAGGAGGGCCCGCTCTCCGCAGCGCGGCCGGGGGAGGTGGGAAGCCAGCGGGGGCTGAGCTTCCACGCTCTCCTAAACCCATCCCGCTTTCCACGCCTTGTCGAGCCCATTCCGTTCACGCTTCTCCTTTCTTTCTCCTTCTTTTTATGATGCAAATCCTTTTGTTTCTGTGCGGCTGAGCGGGGTAAGAAACTGAAACGCGCCGTGCTGGAGTCCAGCAGAGAGGCGAGAAGAGAAATTCCACTTTCTGCACCAGGAGGAGAAGACAATCGCTGACTGTGCACTTGGGCTGAATAGTTTCAATAATTCCGTTTATTGCCCTGATAAATCACCCACAGGGATGGAGCGTCCTCATCAGCCTGGTGAAATGAAGGGGAAATCCCAGTTTTAAATCAATTCTGGTTTATCCCCTGCACAAGAATCCCAGGAGGGTTTGGGCTGGGAAGGGCCTCAAATCCCACCCAGTGCCACCCCGGCCTGGCAGGGACAAATTTCAGTGTCACTGCCCTGGAAAATCTGCTTCAATGGATTTAATTCCAAATGTTCAAAGATTAATGAGCTCAGGAGCTCATTAACCCCCACCCCAGTTTAGGTGCAAGGGGGTTTTTGGTGGGGGGAATTCTCTCACAGGATCATGGAATGGTTTGGGTTCAATTTGGATTTAAAATTCATCCAGTTTAGTGGGCAGGGACACTTCCACCATCCTGGGAAATCTGCTTTAATGGATTTAATCCCAAAATTAATAAACTCAGGAGTTTCAGCTCCTCAGCCCACCCCAGTTTAGATGCAAGGGGATTTTTGGTGAGGGGAATTCTCTCACAGGACCATGGAATGGTTTGGGTTGAAATAGAATTTAAAATTTACCCAATTCCGTGGGCAGGGACACTTCCACCATCTGTGAAACCATTCCCTGTGTCCTTGGCAGATAATCCCTCTCCATTTTTTGGGTCACATTTATTCACCCTGATTATCTCCAGGCTGGGTCATTCCTTACCTGCAGGATCCTGCTGGGTCTCAGTGGGTTTGTTAATATATTTCTATTATATTTGTTATTGTACTTACATTATATTTGAAATTATTGCCTTCTGTGGCTGCTGCTCCTGAGCCAAACGTTGGAATAGAGAAAAAGGAGGGATTTTCTTTCCAAAAAGTGGGGAGGGAGGAGGGATTTGTCTTCCCAAAAAATGGTGAAAAGGAGGGATTTGTCTTCCCAAAAATGGGGAAAAGGAGGGATTTGTCTTCCCAAAAATGGGGAAAAAGGAAGGATTTTCTTCCCAAAAATGGGGAAAAAGGAGGGATTTGTTTTTCCCATCGATCTTTGGGTCTGCTGGTGGATCAAACCAGCACTGAGAGAAAAAAGGAATAATGGGAAAGATTTCACTGATTGATAAATGGAAAAAGAGACTTGCTTTTTTTACTTCTCTTTTGGCTGTGCCACCGAATTCTACCAAATTCTACCAAATCAACCCAAATTATACCAAATTAAACCAAATTAAACCAAATGAATGCAGCTGACTGAGAGTTCTCAGTGCTGCTGGTCGTCGCCCACGGTCACACACGGCAGAGGCAGCAGAATTAAAGTGATTTAATTTTTATTTTGCACGCTCAATGTGCGTTAACAAATCCAACATACAAGGTAGCATTACAGAATGTAGGTTAGCTGATAGCATTATGCAGTTTCACACAGGTTGAGTTCGGGTTTTTTTTGCCTTTTTTTTTTTGTAATTTTATTTTTTTTTTTTTTTCATTTCTCCACACAAAGTTGTAACTGTCCAAGTTCATTTTACAACAGAAGACACAAGGTAAAGAATAACCACACCTGGGAGATTTTACAGTGAGTCTGCTGTCACTTTACTGTCTATTTTATGTTTTTAAAAAATATATATATCTGCACATTTTTCAGTTTCCTATTATTCCAGAAGAGTGTTGGAGCTACTCCTACCTGCCCGACAGCCTAAGTCTATTTACCCTGAGCATGTTTCCTCGACAAAAAATTCATTTTTCCTTTGCAACCGAAGGAATTTTAAAATCATCTAGACTTAGCCATGCTTTTCACACCGAAGGGAAAAAAAAATAAATGAATTTTTTGTTGCTGCTTTTAATCGTGGTCAGATCTTTGGAGTGGAAAGCATTTTCTGAGGAAAAATCGGTGAAAAGTTGCTTGAATTGCAACAATGCAATTGCTTAGTGCAAAAAAATGAGGATTGAAAGAGATTTACAGCAATTTCCAATGGGGGGGAACTTGTTTGCTGAGCCACAGAGCTCGAGCTAGAAGGAATTCAATAAATTTAATAAATTGAATAAATTGAAGAATTGAAGAAATTTAAGACGCTGAGAAAATCTACTACAACCTCAGGCAGAAATCCTGGTCGTGGATGGGTGAAGGGGGAAAAAAATCCACGCTTGTGTCTGCTGAGAAATGGAGCCCCAGCGGGTGAGAAAAATCAGATTTTTTACCACAAAATGCCTTAGGAAAAGATGCCAAAATTCTGTCTGTTCACACAGGGCTGCTGCCTCGTGGGGAACCAGCAGAGCCTCGCTCATTATTCCCATTTCAGGGCAGAGGAGGTGAAAAAGATCCTTTTTCCAACAGGGATGTAAAATTCAGCAGTTGAATGGTGTGAGTAATTAAATGATTTTAATTTTTAAAAGTTTTAATCTGTTATTTGCATTCCTATTTGCATCCCAGAGGGCTCAGAGCAACCAAAGATTTTCCTGAAAACCTGAAGCTGTCGAGGAGCCTTTTTGCAAACTCAATTCTGCTTCTCCATTTCCACTGGAGAGCCCAGGAATAATTTGAATTTTCATTATTTCTGCTCAATCCACCAACACAGCTTACCATGAATAATTTGCTGCCAGATATTAATCAGCTTTATCTGTGCCCTGGCTGGGCTCTGAGCAAAATACCCAAATCCAGGATGCTCTGCTTGCATCCAAAGGCAGCTCCAGCAGATGCCAAATTTTATTAATTCCTGTCCCAAATTCCTGCCTCTGCAGGGTTAAAACTCCTGTCCCAAATAAATTCCTGACTCTGCAGGGTTAAAACTCCTGTCCCAAATAAATTCCTGACCCTTCAGGGTTAAAAATCCTGTCCCAAATAAATTCCTGACCCTGCAGGGTTAAAACTCCTGTCCCAAATAAATTCCTGCCTCTGCAAGGTTAAAATTCTTGTCCCAAATAAATTCCTGACCCTGCAGGCCCATCTTCCCCTGGATCCCAGGCTCAGAAATCAGTCAGGATTTCAGGATTTCAGGATTCCCCAAGCTGCCCTCAAAGCACGTTTTTAGTGCCAGGCTTTGCCCTGGGCTTGGTTTTAGGTGACTGCAGGACGATGTTTGATGCAAATTGACTCCAAAAAAGCTTTGTCACCTTTTCGTGGACAAGCTCTGCCCTCGGGGACCTTTCTGCCACTCTCAGCTTTGTTCTGCCATGAAACAGAAACGATCAGAATTGGTGATGTTGAAAAGTTTCCTTACCAAGCAGTGACACATCAGATTTTGGGTTTCCTTGGGCCCTTCGTGCACGGACAGGATTCAGTAAAATGAACCTGAGCAGGATTCCCCCGGTTCCTGCAGTCTGTGAGGTGCTGCCCGTGGATTTTAAGAGTCAATTCTTGGATGTTGTGAGCTCACAGCTCCCCCGGCTCCATCACAACGAGGATTTCTCTGGAGGCCAGTGCCATCTCCCCCGTATTCTCCTTTTGTGCCAGTGCAGAATTCAAACCCAGCTCTACATGGAAACGTGGTTGGGACTCCCAAACCAGCACAGAACGGAACTGCAAGAACCAATGGGCAGGCAAAAACTAACAAGAAACTAGAGGTTAAAACAGCAGAATTCAGAAACTTTGGGAGAAGCCTAACGAAGACAGGCCAATCTTGGTGAATACCAGCAAAGACAGCTCGGCACAAACACGACTTCCATAGTGACAGATAATTGTATTCAAACCTGCAACTTGATATTGGCAGTTATACTAATTTCAGTTTGTAGTAGGCATGCAATAGCGTGATTACACTGTTATATATATTCGTGGTACCTTTTTTTTTCTTTTTAATTATTTATTCATCATTATTTATTCCCCATCGTACATTTGTTTTAATGCTCCTTAGAATTTTTAGTGCCCTGCAAAAACCACGTCACTAAAGAGAACCTATGGGTATTCTCAGTTTAGTCAGAGAGAACCTATGGGTATTCTCAGTTTAGTCAGGGAGAAAGGAGAGTTTCCAACCAGGCTAAAGGTTTTTAGGATCCCAGGAACACAAGTTAATACAAGTGACTCCCTTTCCTGCCAGCTCACTCAATGCTTTGCCTGTCTTGTCCCTGGGTCCCCATCTCATTTTCCTTTTTATGCTGCTATCCCTCTAATTTTATTTCTGGTTTTTTCTTTGTAGATTCACTTCCTTACTTCTTCCTGGCCCTTCTTCTGCTCATTCTCACTTGTTGAAGTGGAACCCCTCTATCCCTCACTGCTCCAGCTGGAATTCTCCTTGGAACGACCCTTTTGCAAACCAGCAATGCTGAAGCCTGCTCGGAAACTCTCCTTTCTCCCTGCCTAAACTGAGAACACCCCCAAGAACCAACCAGCTGCTGCTCCTCAGCGCCAAGTCCTTTAGTCCTACAGCTAAACCCGGGTGTGCCACCCGTGCCAGGAGGGCTCAGTACTCGCTCAGGCTGTGCCACTTGGCCACGGCCTTGCCGGGGCTGTCGCAGACCTGGCGCCAGTGCTCGGTGCCCGCGGCGCCGGCGCTGTGGGCGCCCAGGATCAGCCTGCCCACCACCTCGTTCTTGGTGGTGCGCTCGAAGTCGATCACCAGGAACTCCACGCTGACGTCGGGCAGGAGATCGCCGGGGATGTCGTAGATGAAGGACTCGTTGAAGACGGGGTTCAAAGTGCACTTCTTGACGTGCGTCTTCTTCTTGGCGATGCGCTTGCGCCCGTAGTAAACGTTCACCTTGACGTAGGGGTCTGCTGGGGGGGAGAGGGAGCAGCAATGACACGGCCCAGGAGAGCTGCACGGGGCACAGGCAGCTTTGGGTCGGGAGGGACTGAAAATGCCACTCCTGCCCATCCCATCCCACGCCTTCCATCACCCCAGGTGGCTCCAAACTGAACTTGGGCAGTGCCAGGGATGGGCAGCCTGGGTTTGGGCTAGGAGGGATCTTCTAAAATCCCATTCTGCTCCTGCCCATCCCATCCCATGCCTTCCATCACTCCAGGTGGCTCCAGCCTGGCCTTGGGCAGTGCCAGGGATGGGCAGCCCGGGTTTGGGCTGGGAGGAACTTTAAAATCCCATTCTGCTCCTGTCCATCCCATCCCATGCCTTCCATCACTCCAGGTGGCTCCAAACTGAACTTGGGCAGTGCCAGGGATGGGCAGCCTGGGTTTGGGCTGGGAGGAACTTTAAAATCCCATTCTGCTCCTGCCCATCCCATCCCACGCCTTCATCTACTCCAGGTGGCTCCAAACTGAACTTGGGCAGTGCCAGGGATGGGCAGGCCTGGTTTGGGCTAGGAGGGATCTTCTAAAATCCCATTCTGCTCCTGCCCATCCCATCCCACGCCTTCCATCACCCCAGGTGTCTCCAGCCTGGCCTTGGGCACATTCAGGGATAGGCAGCCTGGGTTTGGGCTTGGAGGGATTTTAAAATCCCATTCTGCTCCTGTCCATCCCATCCCATGCCTTCCATCACTCCAGGTGGCTCCAGCCTGGTCTTGGGCAGTGCCAGGGATGGGCAGCCTGGGTTTGGGCTTGGAGGAACTTTAAAATCCCATTCTGCTCCTGCCCATCCCATTCCATGCCTTCATCTACTCCAGGTGGCTCCAAACTGAACTTGGGCACCTCCAGGGATGGGTAGCTTGGATTTGGGCTGGGAAGAACTTCAAAATCCCATTCCATTCCTGCTACTCCCCTTCATCCCTTTCTACACCTTCCACTACTCCAGGTGGCTCCAACCTGGCCTTGGGCACATTCAGGGATCCAGGGGCAGCCCTGAAAAATCTGCTGTAATGGATTTAATCCCAAAATTAATAAACTCAGGAGTTTCAGCTCCTCACCCCCACCCCAGTTTAGGTGCAAGGGGGTTTTTGGTGGGGGGAATTCTCTCATAGGATCATGGAATGGTTTGGGTTGGAATAGAATTTAAAATTCATCCAGTTTCGTGGGCAGGGACACTTCCACCATCTGGGATGGAGCTGATTTGCTGTCAAAATAAAAACTCGAAATCTCTGAGCTGCTGAAAGTTTGGGTTCCCTCCCCAAACCTGCCCCATCAGGGACTGGGATCTGGCCAGCCCCAAGGAATGGATTTTTCATTTTCAAATGCCCAATTCTGTGCTCTGAGGTGAAATTCTGGCTCTGCTCCCCCGCTCAGCTCAGCAGGAAAATGCAGAGGGTGAATTTCAGCCTGGAAAATGTTCCTTTTCCTGAGGTGATTTCTTTTTGTTCCCCACACTGAGCACCCCACCCTTGTTCAGGACACAGAGGGTCGAGGCACTTCCAAGAAATTGCAGATGGGAAAATGCTGCCAGCAGAAGGTGCTGGGAAAGAATAAAAAGAATAAAGTTTAAAACAAAGCCTCCCTTTTCCCCCCAGCCCTCAGGCAGCTGCTCTTTATGCAGACACTGGTGAGGATTACAATCAAGATACCAGGCACTGAGGGATATTTTTGTTTTTTGCATTCCACACAAGTTTTGAAGGCCCTTGCCCAGCTGGCACTGCCTTTTTTTCACCTTTTTTGTTTTTTAAACCCAACTGAAATGGGTTTATGCATAATACAAAGATCACATAAATAGTGTTAGTCACACGATTCTGCAGGTAGAACAGCACTGGAAGTTTTATCCTGTGGTTGGAGACTACACATGCACAGATTTTTCCTTTTTTTCTTTTTTTTTTTCCTTAAAGAAAGGATAAAATGTAGGACCTACAGTAATTAGTCCTAGTCTGCATTCCAGGAGAAAATTGCAAAACCAGGAGTGGGTTTGCTCTCAGTCAGGCTGTCACTGACTCTCCAATTGATTCCAACCATTTCCCCACCATCCTGAAGGAGACTTTGCTCAGGAGTGTGAAAATCTGGAAACACCAAAGCCGGAGCAGCTGCTCCCCTCTCTCCAAACAGCACAACAGAAATGGAAACACCCAAAAACAGAATTTTTGGGAGCAGAACTCCACTCCCCAGAGCCACAAGGTCCCCCCGAGCCTCCTCCAGGCTGAGCCTCTTCCCAGCTCCCTCAGGAATTCCCTCAGCTCCTTTCCAGCTCCTTCAGGAATTCTCCCATCCCTTTCCAAACTTCCTCAGGAATTCTCCAGCTCCTTCAGGAATTCTCCCATCCCTTTCCAAACTTCCTCAGGAATTCTCCAGCTCCTCCCCAGCTCCCTCAGGAATTCTCCATTCCCCTTCCAAACTTCCTCAGGAATTTTCCAGCTCCTTCAGGAATTCTCCCATCCCTTTCCAAACTTCCTCAGGAATTCTCCAGCTCCTTCCCAGCTCCCTCAGGAATTCTCCATTCCCCTTCCAAACTTCCTCAGGAATTTTCCAGCTCCTTCAGGAATTCTCCAGTCCCTTCCAAACTCCCTCAGGAATTCTCCAGCCCCTTCCCAACTCCCTCAGGAATTCTCCAGCCCCTTCCCAACTCCCTCAGGGATTCTCCAGCTCCTTCCCAGCTCCCCCAGGAATTCTCCATCCCCTTTCCAGCCCCTCCAGGTCTTTCTTGTCATGGGAAAACCCAAAATTGACCCCAGGATTTGAGGCTCCTCAGCAGTGCCCAGCACAGGGGATGGGCACTCCCTGTTCCTGTGCCACCTGGGCACACCTGGGCACACCTGGGCACATCTGGGTTGGTGTCCAGCCCCTCCAGGCAGAACCATTCCCAATTTTTCCTCACACCATTGACCTCACCCCATGGATCCCATGGATCCAGAGATTCCTGCACCCAGCACCAAATTCTGCTCCCAGCAGAAAGAATTTGGGCTGCTCTGCACAACCACCCGCAGCAATCCGAAACCCTTAAGAAGAACTCGAGGGAAAACGTGTGTACAGCCAAAAAATCTTCAGCTAAAACAACAGCAAAACCCTGCAGGTGAACTTGGGGATTTATGTTTTGCCCAAACACTCCAAGCTGGAGAAAATAGCTTCTACCTGAGAGGCCGGTGATGTCCATCTTTGGCAAGTGCCTGGCTTTCAGCACCACCACGGTCATCCTCTGTGCCACGGGCTGGTAGGACAGGGACACCTGCAGCTCCCCTCTGCTGATGCATTTCTGCAGGGTGCAACACACAGAGAACTCCTTAGGACAAGGGGTCTGACACCTCCCCACAATTCCCTTTCCTTGTGAGAAATGCCTAAAAAACGGGAAAATAAATCCCAGCTGCGGAAGGGGAAGCAGCTCGTGCTCACCCCGCAGCTGTGAGCATCCCCCAGCCTGGAACTCTGAATTTCTGGGAGGGAAAACCTGGTGGGACCTTCTGAGAGAGGAGTGGCCTTGGGGGAGCTGTTACCAGGGGGCTCTGAGGGGTTTAGGAGCTCCAATTCCACGGATTTTTTTGGGGTTTCAGTAGCTGAACCCCTTTTCAGGGCTGTTCTGGGAGGTTCACA